CGATCCAATATGGCGAACATGGTTAAAAAAAATCGCAAAGTTGAAAAAAACGGTTTTTCTAAAATAACTAAAAAAATATAGCACGGATTGAAAAATTTTAAATGAGAAAGTTGTAGGTTTTAAAAAGATCTATCGACTGATTTTTTGAAAGTATCGATTGCTTTGTTACTTTTCGAGATATATCGAAAAAACCGTTAAAAATCTTCTCTTTTCTCTTCTTCTATAACTCGTTTACATTTACGTGCCCATATTTGCTATTTACTGCAAGCATAGCCCACGGCAAGCCAAAAAAGTACATTTTTGAAAAATTTAAAAATATTAATTATTTTTCGAGATATATCGATTTTTTGAAAAAAAGGCGCTCTCGAAAATTGGCTAGATCTTCTCAGCGGATAGCCCTACAGTAACGATTTTCGGTTTATTTTCTTCGTAAAGAGTTATATTATCATGCTGTTAAAAAATGTTGACGATTTTATTAATTTTAAGGATCAAAAAATGACTTTGAATAAGTTGCACTTTTTTGGGTATGTTTTTTTCAAATTACTATTTCAATTTTTATTTTATGAAAATGACTTTTAAAGAAAGAAAACTAAACATTTACGGGTCTATTTTGCTTCTAAGGCGAAAATGCTATAATATTCGTGTTTAGCTACCCCAGATTAAGTACAAAAAAATAATAAAAATTGAAATAGTTATTTGAAAAAAACATACCCAAAAAAAGTGCAACTTTTTCAGTCATTTTTTGATCCTTAAAATTAATAAAATCGTCAACATTTTTTAACAGCATGATAATATAACTCTTTACGAAGAAAATAAACCGAAAATCGTTACTGTAGGGCTATCCGCTGAGAAGATCTAGCCAATTTTCGAGAGCGCCTTTTTTTCAAAAAATCGATATATCTCGAAAAATAATTAATATTTTTAAATTTTTCAAAAATGTACTTTTTTGGCTTGCCGCGGGCTATGCTTGCAGTAAATAGCAAATATGGGCACGTAAATGTAAACGAGTTATAGAAGAAGAGAAAAGAGAAGATTTTTAACGGTTTTTTCGATATATCTCGAAAAGTAACAAAGCAATCGATACTTTCAAAAAATCAGTCGATAGATCTTTTTAAAACCTACAACTTTCTCATTTAAAATTTTTCAATCCGTGCTATATTTTTTTAGTTATTTTAGAAAAACCGTTTTTTTCAACTTTGCGATTTTTATTAACCATGTTCGCCATATTGGATCGAGTTTAAAGAACAAGAAACTCAATTTAAAATTTAATTTTCTATACGGTCATATTTTTTTTGTCCAGGTAATAATTTCTGTAAGCATTTCTCTATAATGCTTGGACTACAAGTAAACTTGTTGCTAACATGCATTATTACAGAGAAAAATAGATTTTAATTTTCAGCCACAGTTGTCAGTTCGAGAGTTGGATATTTGGAAGTATTCTAATATAGTTCAACTGTTGCTAAATGTCTAGCTGTGTATATTAAATACGTTTTACCACGTACACGGAACCATATTTTAAGACATTTCATTAGAAGCTGACGTTTGGCTCTAACATAGTCCTAATTCAGGCTCGATCTTTGCTCTATTAATCGCGTTGCTATAATATTTGAACATCGATGAATTGACGTCCGCTATTTTATTGTTGATATGCGTAGGAGAAGGCAGTAGAATTTTTTTTTCATTAGCAACATTTTTTTTAACAATTTGGGTCGAAAATCAGTTTTTGCAATATATTGGAAAACCTATTGATTTAAGAGAATAGTGTTAAACAGACGAAATATGCGCAATAAAAAGATAAATTGTTTAAAAGTTATTACAAAAAACATAAAATAAAACGTGGGAAAACATAATTTTTTAAATTATCCATAACTTGGTTGTTATTTGTTGGAATTATACAAATATGCCTAAAAGTTGTGTTTTATTGTTCCTCAAAACTGTGCGAAAGATGGGCGCTGTAGGTCCAATAGCTTTTGCAAAATTCAATTTTTTATCCCGTCAAGGCCAAAAATACATAACTTTAACCTTCTGTTTTTCCGAAAGTTATTAACAAAAAAGGGTTTAGAATCTTAAAATCTAACTTAGCTTTGTATTTAAATGGAACTTTGATGTATTGCTAGTGGCCCTTTTGATTTTTACAGAGGCACTGTGTTTTTTTGAAAAAAAAGTCGAACTCGGCTCTAAAAGGGTATGGAACATTTTTTTTATTTATTTCTATTGGTGTATCCAAGATCTCCACCAAAATTTAGCTCTGTCGAAATGTTCGTTAGTTGAAATGTCTATTTTGACCGGACTATTTGTTATTTAAAAATGAATTAACCATTATTTGGCTCCAAAACATTAATTTTCACATAATCTGGCGTTGGGAGGGACAGTGGAAATTCCAGGCCTTATGCTTTCCTGCAACTCTTCGATATTTTGCGGCCTATTTTTGTAGACTACATTTTTTTGTGACCCCACAGAAAAAAATCAAGCGGAATCATATCAGGACACCTAGCTGACCATTAAATTGCCCCTCTGCGTCCGATACATTTATCAAGAAAAGTTTCATCTAGATATGCCCATGCCACACGTCCAAAATGTGGAGGAGCCCCTTCATGTTGAAACCATATTGAATATATTCTTGCAAAAGTAATAAATTTTGTCCACAGGTCAAATTTCCGTTTATAAAATAGGGTCCATAGGACCCTATTTTATGTGTTCACCAATAATATCACACCAATACCTATAGTTTTGTTGCTTTAGGTGCCAATTTAGACAAAATGTAGATTCTTCAGCAAACAATATGTGGGTGACAAAGTTGACATTTTCGTTTAATTTATCCATAATAACTGTGCACAACTCGATTCTACGATCATAATCGTGTTCACACAATTCTTGTAACAAATGAATTTTATATGGATGTAGTTTTTCCCGTTTGCAAATTTTTTTAGTGGAATATCGACTCATGATGTGATTTAAAGCCCTCTGTTGTGTCAAATTTATTGGATTATTCACCATATCTAAACACGACATTCAAAGAATTTTCTTCATTTGTAACACTTACTGTTCTTCCACTTTCTCGTCGATCTGTAACGCCTCCAGTTTCATGAAAACACTGCAACGTTTTTGAAACGGTTGATTTAGAAATACGTTCCCGATCGGGATGCAAATCATGAAAAATATTCACTACTTCGTCACAACTTTGTCTTCTATCACCGTATCCATGATCATTAAAACTTCAATATTCTCGGTTTTAATTAAAGTGCAATTTTTGCGAGAAAATTATTCGCACTAAATGTATTTTTGACATGTGTTGTCAAGATAATCATTATTAGACAAAAGAACGACGCGGAGTTGTTATGAAGCTAGAAACTCTCAAAGGTAACTTGACGGACTAAAATATTTTTGTATAATTGATGATGATTAAATGATTTTCAAAGTTACGATATCTCGAAAACTGTTAAGTTTAGGTACATGATGTGCCATATGAATTTTGTTTAGAATTTCGAGAAAAATTGAAATATGGAATGATATACAGGGTGTTCTATTAAAGAAAAAGCAACTTTGTTTCGTTATGACGTTTTGACTGATTCCGTAATATTAATTTTTCTTTATTGTAATACAATCTAAAAAAAAAACCTAAAACATTATCTTACTTTTAGGAGATAATCGACTGTTTCTCTACACATCAGCGACCCTGTATATTTTTTAATTGATACTTGAAAACACACTTTATAGTGAACCACTTTGTGGCCAACGTTGGTTCATGAAATCCCAGGAATTACCTCTGAACCAACAAATCACCTTGTAATAGAAATTGTATACGTTATAGCAACGAATTAATTCGCTGGCAGAAACAAGCCGTATTTTGTGGCAGCGTACAGAGTAAACAAATTAATGCAACTTGACATCTCCGGCTACCTTTGAAATATCAGTGTTAAAATCTAGCGAAATATTCACATACTGGCGTGGCGTTTCCCGGTATTTAAATTAAAATCATTTTTCACCGTTCGTATAAATAATAACTTTACGGTCTCTAAAACATGGCATTTTATCGCGAGGTCTGATCAATGTTATAATATTTTATTAGCGCTGGAATAATTTGCGCTGGGAAACTAACAAGACGTTTCTTTTGCCGAGCCACGTGGGTGGTGATTATCTTAAAACTTCCTTTACTGAAAATTCTAACAAATATAAGAGTATTTCTTCATATCTTCTATTGTAAATCTGGATAAAACGAATGCACCATTCTTAAATCAGCTCAAAAAAATATAAGTTTTATTCTCACAAAATCTGATGTCATGATAACAACAAATAATGCATTTCAAAATAAATTCTAAATCGGGTGATCGATTCGTTTTCGAGGTATAAGCTGTATAAAAAATTTAAGATACTAAAATTTTTCTGACTTTTCACAATATATACAGGGTGTCCCTTAATTCGACTCTCAAAGGACCCTGCACAACCTTATGGGTTTGAGTTCATGATCAAAAGTGTTCATAGGCCCAAAGGCAATACATAATTGTTACATGATGCTATTTTTTAATTTTACTGGAAAATACTGTATTTTAGTACAATTTTTCAAGAGCAATCATTTTTTCAATTGTCACATTCTTTCATATTAAACATTTTCTAAGAGAGAAGAAAAATCATTTTTTACAAGCCATCTAGCTGCTACATCTTTATAAGTAACCAGAGTGAGACGTGTTTGTGTTAATTTTTACCAAGGGACACCCTGTAGATGGGTAGATGGGCAGTCGCTTTAAGGGACACCCTGGTGTCGAATTTTTGAGACTGAATGATAAGAGACTCTCGATATTTGGGTATATGTATTTTTATCTGAATTCAGATTTTTACTTAATTTGGTGAATCATTAGACTATTTCATTATTCTGTATCAAACGATTTCACACATATTTTAAAAAATATGACTTGTTGCAAATTTCAACATCTAATGCTGAAACACCCTGTATAATAATTAAACAAAGGAAAAGTATTTTCTGACAAATTTGAAAAACTCACCTGGACAATGTGGAGTGCTTGTCTTCTGGTTTGTGCGCATGTCCGTTCATATAAGCCCTAGTATTTCCATTAGCACCTACAACAAAAAAAAATTGTTTCCTGTTATTTTGACTATAATTACATACAATAGATATTAATATAATTACTCATTTTAATAAGCTTAACGCTCAGAAGCCAATGTCTGCAGAGGGGGCGGTATATTAATTTTTAATATACATTATTTTTTTAATAAATTCTATGAAATGACAAAGGGTATCAAATTTTCGACTAGAATTATTTTATTGGGGAATGAAATTGTCAAGAAAATCCGCAAAAATGTAGCACACAAGTTACGTTAAACATTATACAATACAATACTGTTTGTTTAAAAATATTGAAACGCGATATTTACATTCTTTGCCAGAGTATTACCTACAGTTTCAAAATTTTTTTGTCACGTTTTCAAATGTTGTAGGAAAGCTGGATACAATTAGTAGCAGGAATTTATTTGTGCTACAACTTTGTGGACTTTTCCGAGATCATCACTTGAATAACTAACATTTTTTTCGTTATTTGATTGGTAATTCAATGGCAAACTAAGGCTACAATTCACACAATGTACAAGTTTTGGATCGTGGATCTTTTATTTCTTACATTAAAGCATATGCAGGGTGACACGAATTGTATAAACCTGGTGACAGAACACCCAAAATAAACAAAAAAATCTTTTAAAGACTCGGAAAAATGATCTTGAGTTGATAAACAAATCTGTCAACCACTGCAAAATAGTGCCCCCAAAAATCTTTGAATTTCAACGCAGCTGAATGATTTGGAAATTAAATAAGCATTTGGTGTTTCTAAAGAAAAACATTTAATTCCATGAATTGAGCCATTTTTGAAAATTTATTATTTTTCTTAAATTTAAAGTAAACCTTCAACATAGTTGTACAAACTGAAAATAACTTCAAAACTATTCGTTTTACAAAAAAAATAAAAAATAAAATTGATTTGTTAGTAATATAATTTTAAATTTACTGGCACAGTAATTTAAAATTTAGGTGTCATTATTCCTAAGAAAATTTGAAGTTCCGAAGTTAACGGATTTTTTGAACATTCATAGTTATAATGTATTGAAAATTACATTACCCACTAAAAAAAAATTCTAAGTATTTTTTTGTGAAACGAATGGTTTTGGAGTTATTTTTCATTTATTTAACTGCATCGAAGGCTTATTTTAAATAAAAAAAAATATTACCCAGACAATTTTTTTCTTAGAAACACATCCAATTACTGAAATATTCACGGGCATTGAAATTATAGGGGATTTTATAGACGGTATCTCCAAATATCTCCGCCACTGGTCGAAAGATTTGTATCAACAAAATTGTAAATTTTTGCCCATAATTCGTTAAATCATTGTCACAAGTTTAACCAGTCTACTTCAAACATCTTAATAAAAATTTAAGAAAATAGTCACGTGTCACTTTTTTTAAATTTCAACACCGCATCACGAAAACAATGCAGGAATTTTTTTCTTATTTAATATACCTTCTTTTTCTAAACACAAAAATAACAAAGTTAACCAGGGATGACATTTATAACTAATCGCCTAGCAAACTACACTTTTTTGACGACTGCTAATGGAAAATAACAAGATGTGTTCTATTTGGATAATTCTGTCTCTAAGTTACTATTCAATTAATTCGCTTATTAATCACGTCGAATCCCGTTCTACGCTTCCTTATAGAAATATCAACAACCACCGTGTACATTAGATCTACACACATCCTACCATTAATTTTAATGAGAATAACACGTGTTGCGATATATCAATTATTATTCTAAATGACTGCACAGCTGCAGACTAATTCGCAGTTTTGAATAATAATTTGCAATAATCAGTGTGCCCGAGATTGATGATACAGTACGGAAAACTTACAGACGAATTCTTAACAGGTAGACACGAGAGTACCGGGTTGAGCAAATATTTTTTCTGTTAACGTGCGTGAAATGCTAATTTTGCGCTCACTGTGCACCATATTGTCGCGGGTTTGCTTTATTTTGACCCTTGTTAGGCATATTTTGCAACTTACAATTAGAGTCATGTCGTAGAACATGGCTTTATCCACCTTTATTTTCACGGGTAGTTGGTTTGAGATAGCGTCCAAGATTTTTTATATTGCCTTGTCTCTACTGCTGTTCAGTCACAGGCTGGCACGAATCTGGAGGCTTTCAACTGAGCCTAATTGCACTAATTATGTTTTATAGGAACTTCAAGTATGAGTACTCTCGTGTCTATTATCACTGTATTTTTGGATTTGCCAAAATCGGCGTTAACATTATGACATCTCATGTGAGTAGCTGAAATTTCGTATCTTCTAAGAGCTTGTGTAAGATAGTGCAAGAGATAGAGCAGTAAAAGTAAGCTTTGACGTTTGTGTGATCTATTTTGTTGTACAGAAATTCCCAAATATTGTGTAGAATAAGAATCCGAGTTTGCCTATTCCAAAAAACCATTACTGCTAAATTCAGGGGAACAACAAACATTCAAACAGAACGAAAAATTGCCCGTTTTTCGACATATTTTTCCCTGTAACATTGAAAGTAAGCCCTAAATATAAAAAAGCCATTCTTTATGTTTTGTTTATTTGACGATTTTCTATAAAGTTACAGCAAGTGTGAATCAAAAAAGTTGAATTTTGCATTAACAATGGGTGAAAAATAGTAGAAAATCATATGTACCTTTGGAGCAGTTTTTAAAATAAGTAAATATTTATAAATATTGATGAAACTTTGTGAACAAATAGTAAAACATAATGTCAATTCTACCCTAAAAATTTTGCAACGATCGATCGCGTGGTTTTCGATTGACACGATTGTTAATTAAGAAAATTTCAAAAAGTTTATCGCGTACGGTGAATTTAAATTAGAAAGAGCATATAATTTTTTTAGAGATACTTCTTATAATACACGGTGATCAATACTAAAAATACCTATTTTTACACTTTTATAACCATTTAGATCTTTCTCAAAACCAGTTGGAGGAGCGTTGATGGTTGTCAATTAAGAGCTCAAGTATATTTCTAAAGCAATTTGTACAATGCACTTAGGGTTTCTGTTCGAGACTTCTCGAAGCGAGAATTCCCGGGAAATCTGGCCTCGAGACGAGAAAAAAGTGTCGAGAAATCGAGAAATTTAAAAATCAAGCGCGTCTTAAGTTCTTGATTGGAGTTCGTTTCGTTCATGCGTTCAATTCGTTTCTCGACAAATAACTGAGCGGTTAAAGTGGTTTCTCGACTAGCTCATGATTTATGTATTTTAAGTTTTTAAGGCTTTAGTTTATTTTGACGATTCTTATTTTTTTAATGTACCTTGTTATAAGTCTGTGTGGAAATTTTATTATAAGCAGATACCCAATGTTGATGTTGATTCTGAAAATATTTAGTTCCTGTTCCTTTAGTTGATTATTTTATTTTTGTTTTGATAATTAAAAGATTGTGATTATAAGTGATAAATTATTAGGAAGAACGATTCTGTATCTTTAAATTAAAGCTTGTTTTTTTAAGATTTCTTCGGTTAAATTCCTTATTTACTATTTGTTTAATTAAAAGACCGCATGATTAATGATTATTAATAATTATTGGAAGAAAGCTACGATTCAAAAACATTGAAATAAACATAAGTATAATGAAAGTGTTTAATAAAAAACAAGTTAAAGGTTTTTAAGAAGAAGATACTCAAAGTTTAATTTAGTTTTGTTAGTAGAAGTAGAAACATATAAGTAATTAATAAAAATACTGAATAAATAATAAATGTTAATGATAATTGTTAAGTATAATAGCATGTTTATATTTCGCATTGCAATACCAAAATTATGACTTTTTTAAGTTTTAGAAATTTCTCGAAAATTCCCGGGAATTCCTAGTCGAGAATTCTCGAGACCCGAGAAAAAAAGTAGGCCGAGAAATCAGAAACCCTAAATGCACTGGAGTCGCAAAAGACATTTCTTTCTCAAGCAAATTGGAAATATCTTCTTTATCATTAAATTAAAAAAAATGTTATAAATTCCAAAAAAATCAATAGTGTTTGGGATGACGAGAAAGATACTTGAAAACTTAAAAATAAACTGATGCAAAAAATTAAAGGGTCAAAAGAATTTCCGAAATTTTTCCGTGATATTTGACAGACTGTATTTAGGTGAAAAATGGTCGTATCGGGAATTAAAAAAAAACATTTCAAAGCTCTAAGATTTTATTCTAAATACATTAGGTGAAAAATGAAAATTTATTTGAAATTTTTTTTAGAGGAGAAAAAGGGTGGTTTTGAAAAAACTGTTTTTAAGTGATTACAGACTGCACAAAAATTAATTAGAAATTTGTCTCAAAATTATTATCATTATTATTATTATTTAATTAAAAGTTGATGAACAGAAGCATAGCCGAATAGTGCTGGAAACAACTGGATTTAGTTTTCTTCAATGTCCGGAAGGTTTTCCAAAAAAAAAACAAAACTTAAAAAATTTTTCGAATTTTTTTTTTTATCAATTTAAACTTTATTTGCGGTAAAAATGTGAGAAAACCTCAAAAAAAATGTTCCCATTTTAATCATGATTATGAAGTGTTTAATCTCAAAAAACGTTCAAGAGTTTGACTGTTTGAAACAAAGAAACGATTCGCTAGATCGAGATTAAACTTCACAGGGTTCTTCTAGGTATATCGACTTGTAAAAGTCATGCATCAGTCATTTCGTGAATATTTCTAATTTAGCTGTCAATTTTCTAAAAAAACCTTAAATTACCCTTTTTTCCTGTTTTTTAAAATTCGTGTAAAAGATGAAAACATTTTTTTACCGAAAAGTTGCGGCAGCATGTCTTAGGGAATTTATTCCAGTTTTCGAAATTGCCCTTCAATTCTCTGTACGACCATTTATCGCCGAGATATCGATGATTGAAGACACAAGGAACCTTTTCCATTAAAAGTCCGATATTTAAAATGGTCGTATTGAAATTAAAAAAAAAAAAGGAAATTGAAGTTGAATAAACAAGCTATCTGGTCTATGTAACGGCTTAGCTGAAAAAAATGTTTATAAATTCGTGGA